TTTTCAAAGGGTAAGAAGTTATATTGTTCATTCGTTGATTTTAAAAAGGCCTTTGATACGGTGTGGCGAGCAGGCTTGTGGAAAAAATTACAAAATAGTAACATTACGGGCAAAATATTTAAAGTCCTTTATAATTTATATCAAAATACCAAATCATGCGTAATAAATGGTAATGATACATCCGACTTTTTCATGTGCAATGTCGGGGTAAAACAAGGAGAAAACTTATCGCCATTTTTGTTTTCCCTCTTTCTTAACGATTTAGAGGATTTCCTCAATCAACGTAATGTTTCTTGTTTGAATGAAGTGTATGCTCTTAGTGATCAAAATTTAGGTTTGTACTTAAAATTGTTTATTATATTATATGCTGATGATACAGTGCTTTTATCAGAAACACCAGATGGCCTACAGAACGCATTGAATGAATTCCAAAATTATTGTAATATATGGAAATTAACAGTTAATACACAAAAAACTAAAGTTTTGATTTTTGAAAAAAGAAAAAGTAAAAGAGACCATCACTTTACGTTAAATAATGAGATTTTAGAAATACAAGATTCGTACACATATCTTGGAATAATATTAAACTACAATGGTGTTTTTACAAAAGCCAAAAGTAAACTAACAGAGCAAGCAAAAAAAGCTTTATATGCATTGTATATTAAGATTAGAAATATTTCCATTCCTGTAGATCTTCAACTGAAATTATTTGATGCACTTGTGTCACCAATTTTATTATATGGATGTGAAATCTGGGGCTATGAAAATACAAAAAGTATCGAAAAAATACACTTACAGTTTTGTAAGGAAATTCTTAACATTCGGAAGAGCACCCCAAATTATATGGTATATGGTGAGTTAGGAAGGTATCCCCTAGAAATTGAAATCAGTGTTAGAATGGTTATGTTCTGGCATAAGCTTATAACGGGTGGATCGAAATTATCTAGTGTAATGTATAAGTTAATGTACAATTTGCACCAGAATTCTTTATTAAGTTTTAAATGGTTAACGTATATACGAGATATCTTAAACAATACTGGATTTAATAATTTATGGACTTTCCAAATATCATGTACAATTAATAGACAATGCTTGAAAAATATCATTAAGCAGAGATTATGCGATCAATTCATTCAAAGTTGGTTTCATGATGTTGAAACCTCCTCGCGTGGGCAAGTTTACTCCTTATTCAAATTTCAGTTTAATATTGAACCATATCTTTTAAAGCTAAATCGTAATGAACGAAAAGTAATATGTAAATTTAGAACATCAAATATAAAATTTCCTATAGAAACAGGAAGATGGAATCGAGTTCCACGCGAGGAAAGGTTATGTCCCCTATGTAATAACTGTGTTGGGGATGAATACCACTACTTATACCAATGTATCTGTTGTAGCTCTCAGACAACTTTATATACCAAATTATTATTATGTCAACCCAACCTATATCAAAATGAAAGGAATGTTCTCAATTTGTAACACGGTACTCTTAACACAAGTAAGTAAATTGATACAAAGAGTAATGAAGCTACTTAATATCTAAAATAATTTAGCTAAAAGAATTATTGAAATGGGTTGTTATTGTATGAATTGTATCATGTGTCATATTATATTATGTGAGTACTATGTCCATCAATGTATACTATGTATTATGTGACCTCTTGTTACGCACGTATACGTGTGGCGTGAGTGTAAAAATAAAACTTGAAACTTGAATCTTATTGTTCTAATGTCACGGTGTGGTGATCACCCTGTCCGTTGATAATTTATTAGGTTTTTTAAAGTCTTTTTCTGAGTTTAAAATTTCGGGCAATACCCTAAATTGATTCCTGGGTCCCCGCCCCCTGCAGTCGAACAATTCTGATCCATCCGGTCCAACTGTATGGACCACGTTATACGAGGCGGCCCAGGTGTTGGGAGAAATTAATATGACTTTCTTCCACAGTCACCGGTTAAATACGCGAAGAAAATTAAACCATCTTTCTCCTACAGGACCGTAGGGTCTAGATTACTAGCTTTTAACTTTCACCTTGATGGTATAACAACATATCCATTGTTTTTCAAATAAATGACCTTAACCAATTTTGAAGATCGGGTTGTGGATGTTAAAATTATCCAAATAGTTTACTTTCTAAAATTAAACGAAAAACATCCTATAAAATTGTCGTTCGACTACCAATATACTTTCAGATTTTAAGTGCATGTAGCACGTATTATTGAATTCAAATATATGACCATGTAAGCATACGTTCGCTACATGTACATGTAAACGTAACACACACCTTTTACCTATGCATTCGCGTATGCAAAAATGAATAAATTACAATTCACCATACAGCTGTTTCCATTCAATTGTTTTATTATCGTAAGTAATACAGCTTGTTGATATTATATTACATGCATTATGCACAATACAATGTCATACAAAGTCAAGTTCAAGTCATACGCTAATAAGTATATTCACTCATTTCAAAGACAAGAGGTGTGACCTTATTTCAAACGCTTTACACAAACATTTTCCAAAGTTATACAGTTCTGTGTCATTTTCTGTACTACGTAATTTCAATAGTTTATACATGGATGGCTTGCATCGGTAATAAGGTTTTAACAATTTTTGTCTCGTCGGTGCTAGGGGTCGATTAGATGGAAATCCAAATTGGTCTAAAAGCCCTGTTGAAGCAGAGGGGAGATGAAAAACCGAATTTTAAATATCAGACGAGGTTAATTTCACATCAGTAGTCAGAAAAGTGTGTTAATTATGAATCCTATACCACTACTCAAAATAGATATATACTGTATAACTGTGGCCATCCAGGTTACGGCAAACATCGGGGGCTACGTGAACATCGAAAGATGAACGTAAGTCGTTCCCCGTCTACACCGACATCGTACGTACGCCGACACAGTCACGCTTGACTATGATACAAGGTCAAGAAGAGCTACTGTAGGAGAGACAGTGGGAAGAGGGTGATAGTTAACTGGTAGAAAGTAGAAATAAAGTTTGTCCAGCTACAATGTACGTTTTCGCCTCTTCAACCCAGTCCCCTTCCTTGTAGCAGTCTTTACAAAATAGTTACTGTCTTTGGAGAAAAAATTGTAATTATAAATCTTCCCTTTTCACTTGATCCATAGTGGTGATCAGTATTCCGACATCCAGAAGACTCGACAGTCCGGAGATCGGTTATATAATTCCGAGGCATGAACTCTCAAGTCTCGACGATACATGTAATTCGAATAGAGGGCCGATAGTCCGGAATAAAATAGGTTATTTTAAACAAGAAAAAGCAGAACAAGTGCGAAGCATGTGGTATGTCAAGTACGTTTACAAGTAACCGGTAGGGGTGAATTAAAGGCGGGAAATGGTAATCATCACTACCCAAACATCTAAATCCTTGTACATGAGAACATGCTCTCTTAGACTATCTGTGAGTAGGGGGTATATGAATAAATCCTATTCCGTCTTTGCGTATCGCAGAATTATCTTCTCTTGGGAGCAGGTAATGATTGGTACGTCAGTTGTTTGTGAGAGTAACGTCATCAATTTTTGAGAAACCGACGTAATTTTCTCGCACAAACCAATGACGTAACAATCAATACCTGCTCCCAAGAGAAGATAACTCTGCAATACGCAAAGACGGAATAGGAACCCGACCGACCCTGTTTTACCCCCGACCCTATTTTTTTTTTATCTCAACCGAATGAATTTAAACGTTTTATTTTGACGCACCGAAAATCGTCAGCGTCTCTATGACATTTCTCTATTTCATAGGCGGGTATCAAAATCACATTTAAATTCTATTTGATCATTTAAAAGACCGGTAAAATATAATGAAAGTGAATACAATAGGTTTGTATAACTCAGCCCACTCTAAAACAAATAATAAAATAACATCATGACAGCAATAAATCCCTACTGACCTACCCCATTTTCATCAGTCATGTTACCTGAAACACATATATATTCATAATTTTTGTTTTGCCTTATCAGGACTAACTTTTTTCTGCCAATTATACGGCATGATGTTTTCGGAAAAGGGTAATTCAACAAGACATGAAGATATTTCAGAATTAAGATAAAATTAAAAAAAAAACTCTTAAAACTCAAAATTGAAACCTTGAGACGCTCTGTATTGTGTTTGTGCATGACTGTTACCCATATCCCAGTAGTATTATCCAGTCAGCCCGTATCAATATCGCGTGCTATAGTTACCCGTGGATATATAAAACACACTCTTACAGTGACATAATAACAGCTGAATTATACTAATCATACCATGCATACCGATTCAAAATATGATAATATTTATACATTATTTGCATTATTAGTGGCGAATCCAGAGACGTATCGGGTGGGGTGGGGGTGGGGTGGGGGTGGGGAGGAAAATGGTGAAAATACATGATTTTTTTAAAAAATTATCAGGGTTGGTGGCTTTCTTGAAGCCCAATAAAACCCTCTGGATCCGACTCCACTGATTATCCTGCTTAGTAATATATGTAATTTTGCCTATCATGGATACGAATTCATTATCAGTAACGTGTCCGAGCTGCATTCGTTCGTTTGTCGGGGGTGTAACAGCCTGCACGGTCGTATGAAAAGGAGACATGGTAATTTATTATATAGTATACACTTTACCGCGGATTTAGCGTGACTTTACTGAAAACTATTAAAGCCATGTTTTTCACACATTATAAGTAATCGTCGTAACATTTAGATATCATGATAAAGATATGATACATACAATGTATTACAAATAGACACATGTATATTATGCCATGTCTTAATCAATTAAATGAAATACTTCATATCAAATAGAAAAAAATAGGACACATCAAAATAATGAACGAACAAATGTTTTTCGTACATGTTTATGCTTGTATCTATCTGAACATGCATAGTTTGTGCCACACTTTAATGTTGTATAAAGTAAAACGCCGCACCGCTCCCTTTTTGGGCCCCCGAGGATGCTGCGCATGTGTATTTGCCTGCTTAGCGCGGTTTCGTTTTGTAACCGGCTCACATGTACATGTACCGATGACCATTCGACGAAGGAATACGCGAACGGTAAACACTAAACTGAGGGGTACATTTGTAAGTACACAGATACATTCATTCCAATTGTATGAGCTCAGTTACAGTAAAGTGTCAGTATTAGTCGGAATACAGTTTAACATTACAGCTGGCGAGTAAATGCATAACGCATTCAATACACAGCTTATAGGCCTACTGTATGTGTGTACATCGCCTGTGTTTGTATGCCAGCCTTTTCGTATGTCGACAAATTCCATTCATAAAAAAGCACATTTGCTTAAACAATAGCTACATTATATGGTCATATCTCCAAAAAAAATAATGTTAATTTCTGTGGTAACAATTGACACGGCGAATGACCACCAGTCTATAACGACCTATAAATAGCTATACTTATGTAATAACCTGTCTATAGTGACCACATGTCTAAAGCTAAACTGATATATATATATACCTACAAAATGTACCACCTGTCTAGCCCAACACCTGTTTAAAACTACCTGGCTATATACATGTATATCACCTGTATAATAACCTGTCAATAGTGACCACCTGTTTAAGTGAGTATATCTACCACAAAGCAACCTCCTGTCTACAGCTATTATCCTGTATATTGGTACCACCTATGTATGATAACTACCTTTCTATAGCTGCCTGTACCTGTCTACAGCTATTATCCTGTATATTGGTACCACCTATGTATGATAACTACCTTTCTATAGCTGCCTGTACCTGTCTACAGCTATTATCCTGTATATTGGTACCACCTATGTATGATAACTACCTTTCTATAGCTGTCTGTACCTGTCTACAGCTATTATCCTGTATATTGGTACCACCTATGTATGATAACTACCTTTCTATAGCTGCCTGTACCTGTCTACAGCTATTATCCTGTATATTGGTACCACCTATGTATGATAACTACCTTTCTATAGCTGTCTGTACCTGTCTACAGCTATTATCCTGTATATTGGTACCACCTATGTATGATAACTACCTTTCTATAGCTG